AGTGAGGTTATATTACTCCAAATTTCATGATTGTTTCTTAGTTGGTAGTGGCGGAGTGTCAACTTTAATTTCTCTAAGAGGTTATATTATTTTTCCATGATTTAATGAACGTTTAAACAATGATATACATTTACAACTATTATACATGAATTTTTTAATTATACCATAACAGCAGGAAGTACATGATATATTCCTTGCCCTCTCGACTGTATAAAGCGGTGGATGCTAAGCAGCGATTTATACGGAAAAGGCGTTCCAAGTTAATCGGCGATCGCTAACATAGAGGCGATCCATGGAAGGTGAGAGAGATATTCCTTCCCCTCTCGATCGTATAAGGCGGTGGATGCTAAGCAGCGATTTATACTGAAAATGCGTTCAAAGTTAATCGGCAGTCGATACAAACGAATTGGTATATGAAACATGCGGGAAGTGCCCGGGTTTCCTCTCTCGGTGATCGATGCAGAGAAGCCGATCTTTGCCAGATGCCATAATGTAACCTTCTCTACGACATTCTTCTTCCCTAATGCGTTCAAGTTTAGACTGTATATGCTTCAAAAAGTGGTGCTCTTATTTGGTATATAAGTCGAACACAACCTAAAATTGTTTTGTATATTATATCCGTTACACTACTTTTATTACATTATCTGTTAATATATACACGTTAAACCCAGCATATTTCAATTTAATAGACGAAGATATTAAATAACCTCCTACAAAAATTAACCATCAACTTCGTTTATAAATGAAAAAAAGCTGTCACAAAATTGTTCAGTTTCGCCAACTTAAGAATGACGAAACATACGTAAAATAACACCAGATTTTCAGAAAACGAAGCGAACTTTAAATTAAGATTGTGGAAAATTTAGGGTTTCATCCGCAATTTTTTTAATTGAAATCGTAGTGCCCTCTATCCATTTTTATCAATTTCATGATCATACCTGGGGGGTTTATTAGCGTCACGTACCCCTTCAAACTATTAATCTTCTGTCAAATTAAAGATATCAAATTTTAAACGTAAACCCCAGATTCTCTACACATACTTAGTTCTTTTTATTAGCCAAACCGATATATTAAGTTATAGCATGGAAAGAGACATGGAATTTGATCGCCCTTGTTTACGTAAACTCAATCAACTAAGTTCACATGTCCTTTTATTCGAATTTAATCAAACCAGAGCATTAGATTTTGAAGAAAAAACATTTTCAATACTGAGCTAGCCGTTGGTCAAATAAGAAATTAATTGTCACAGCAAAATTGCCAATGCCGTAGAGGTTCAATTTTGTTTCATGCAAGTGAGGCTTTCGACCCTTGTAGATTTAATTAATCTGCATAGTGCATAGTGTTCGGAAGTCTTTCCAATATAATTGAATTGCATTGATATCCACTTTTTGGAAACGAAAGTGATTTGGAAATGGAAGAGTACAAATTCTGAATATTCTGAAGTTTGAAAGCTCTGAAAGCTGACTGTAAGCACTCCAATTGTTCAAAAGACTCGGATTCCTTAAGTCCCGGAAGATAAATGTACTCTAAAGGCTCGAAATTGTTGTAGGATCACAAAGGAGCATCCAGTTAGTGCGCATTTCATGTTACGGTTAGTTCTTTTTCCACCATCAATGGCTCTTTCCAGCTTCACGATTTTTGGTAAAAGCAGCAAATTAGCACTACATTATGATATTACTTATGAACGGATCAGATTTTGTTTGGTTTGCTTATTACCATTTTTATCCTTGCAATTTTTGAAAAAAATACGAACCAAAAATTTGATTCTATGCTGTAACAAATTCGACATATATTTTAATGGTAGGTATATTATTCATCCCTGTTTAATATTTCGCTGTTGTCTTATCTTTTTACCCTTTTCAAGCTCTAAACCACGAAATTGTTCTTTGGGATAACGCCCGATTAGCACCAAATTTACACTAACGCACAAAAAACTTTCAAACGTTTTTTAACTCGACCACCTTGCAACTTGTGCAAATGCTAACAATGTCACGAAATTTAAATGGACCCAAACGAATCTGATTTAATATAACAAATTTAACAAATTAATTAAGGGAAAGTGTGGGCAGCCTTAACATTTCATTTACACGGTTATTTACATAATGCTTCGAGTAGTCCTATTTCCAAATAAAGTAATTAACTAAAATACCGATTAATTGTTCAAATTAAACACGGCTACAGGTGTCAGTAATTGCAATTAAAACTTACACGAATGTGCGCGCTTTTTGAATTAATTAAACAATTAATTATAATGATATTGATGAGATGAGGTAAGCAAATATCTGTATAATAAGCTTCCATCCGGTAGCGTTTTTACACGTTTCGAATCGACCTTATGAAAATGTCAGGAACAAATCGGCGCGACAAGTGCGTTAGCAATTTAGTATTTTATATTATTATTAAATAATTGAGGAGGATGGACGCAGTTTTTTCCTACATCCGGGTTCAATGCCAGATGAAAGAATTATAGACCAGATTTTTGTATACCATTTTAAAGGTAAAACTGGTTTAGTATGTGATATAAGGTGCTCCAAATTGCTCAATAGTTTGCATTAGCTAATTTTTTATCTGCTAATCAATAAAATAAATCATTCAAAATACATAAATTGCCGTGTTTTTTAGCAGTCATATTCACGCCCGTCAATATTTCATAATGCTTGGTGAGTTCGTAAGTGATACATTTAATTTACAATTAAGATAAGCAATTACGGTATGCCGTCTCTTAGAAATGGGAGCATGAAAGAGTACGGTCTGTGATGTTGCAGTGACCCCAGCTCTCGATGGGTCAGTGGTCACCAGGAAGTGGCCACCTTGGAAGCACTTGAGATATCGCGTTCTTGACGGTATCCATCAGGCACGCCCTCACTGTCGCACTAGCTTACTTAATCTTGCCAAGCATGTCGAGTTTAATGATCTGTGGAATATTACATAGATGAACGAGTTAAGGGAGATTGCAACTAAAGACAGTAAAAGTAAAAGTAAAGTTAGATATGTAAAAATACCTAAAGTAAACGGAGAATGCTTTTACATTTGCCTCAAATTCTCTGGTCGACGTAACATAATATGCACCTGCAGTTACAATTACCTATCCACTGCTCAGATTATTTATTTTATTTCGCGGTGAAATGCAAAGTGTAGTAAAGCATAGGGGGCTCCCAACATTACCCCCTCCTTAAACATGTCAAATTATATAACATAAATGTAAATAAGGCACAACCTTTTTACTATTTCCAGATTACACCTTGGCGAGACTTAGCCTATTCACGATCGGACTGTTTACGCTTGGGACAGGAACTACCTCAGATTTACTTTCTAAGGTATTTTACAACGTTTTAAACATGTAGAGAGTAAAAATGATTCATTTTAGTTTCACCAACAGGAGTACGAAATTAAAAAGGAACGTTTCGTCCTGACCGCCTTCAATAAAACGCTAATAAATTATTTTAGCGTAAACACCTTCAAATACAATCGCACTGCTTTTGCCACAAATGGCACCATATCATTAAAATTTGACTGTGTCGGCGACGATGTAACTGTACCAAACTATCAATCAAAGTTACACAATTTTAAATAGTTCTTTTAGGTCATAGTACAAGCGCACTTGTTTCTGTCCAACCAATATCGCGTCTTTCCCTTGCGATTTCAGATTTCACTTTGTGACTGTTTCGAAAAACGCATTATGGGTTTAGGAGATTATCCATTTGGGAACCTAAATGTGTGCCCTTTAAAAAAGGTATGTCAATTGGCAAAGTCGGGTTACCAGAGACACTGCGAAATCACTTGCAAGTTATGTCGTAACTCGTAAGAATTTTTGCAATGTTGGAGAGGTCATACGTTTTTTGTGACAAATGGCTAACCATAAGGATTATTGAACGGCCATCATGGTTTATCGTCAGAAATGGCCAGAGACAGCTTTGTATGTGTACTTATGTTTCTTTTTTCAGGGTGTACGATATTATGGTTGCAATTGGAAGCCTAACGTTAAAAGATTTCCTCCAGGAATACCAGACGGGCAATACAAAATGCAATTCACAGGAATGCATCGTGATAGTTTTCTGTTTGATGTTGATTATTACGTCACTATATATAGGCAACCTAAGATTCCAAACTAATTCGTCAAAAGTGACGAGTGAGAGGTCTCTAATATTTCAGACAGTACCTATTCCAAATGTTTCAATGAAAAATGAAAACTTATGGTATTGTTCAGATATTTATTACACTTTTATTGGTCTCTGGTTTACATTATTATTTGGCGCGGAAGACCGTCCTCATGCAGGAAAAGTCCGAACGGGAGAACGAACAGCTGCAAGGACACACTACAATAGACGACCAACTGTGCGAAACAGTGTAACGATAGTTACAAAACCAAAACTAAAATGCCCCCTCGTACTAATAATTTCGATTTTATTTTCAAACTGTACGAAAAATCATATAGTCAGTCTTCAAATTGTATTCCGTGTGCAACTTTTTAGGTTACGCACAATTATCCACATTTGATCTCTTACGGTACCCAGCTTAATTACTTAAATAGTACTTTCGGCTTAAATACAACGGGGTTAGAAACCCCGGCCACGGTCATCCCGGCGATGACCATCTCGGCACCGATTTCCCGGTCACAAGCCATCCCGGTGACCATTTACTTCCCGGCTTCGGTTATCCCGGCCATCTAAACCTGGCGATGGGCATCCCGGCTTCGGTCGTCCCAGCAATTTGAACTCTGCGATCGGGGGGATGGAAAACATTTAAGATGAGGTAAACATATGAAGTGTAATTTATGTTTATTATATTGAAACAATTGACCGGAATTAAGTTTTCTTATTTGTTATTGTATAGAGTGTGATTTTTCCTTTCGAGATATAATACAATCTGAATAAGGACTATAGTATCAAATTGAAATTATGCCATTTATAGTTAGGTAAAGTTTTCTGGTATCTATCTGCGTAGGTAAATGCGTCCTTTGCACCGTTGGCAATTGTGTTAACAAGACGGCGTATTTGAGCTTCCTTACATATTTCAACCATAACAACCACTTTCGGTACCTAATTTGATAACCGCTTTTACAGTATATCATTGTTTATGTCCAAAAAAAAAACAAAAAGAAAATGGAGTTGGACAGACGTGGTTAGGTGTGCATTGCCGACAAAGTAATAGTCACCGGGATAGGTCGTCGCCGCGAAAACGGTGCCGGGGTGTACGTCGCCGGGATGTACATCGCCGGGAGGGATGCACCGTAGAAACCCGACGGTTGATTGCATCCACAATTTTTGTGTTCAAAATTTTACATGATTTGTTAAACTCTCCCGAATTACTTCAAGAAATTAAGCTTAAGGTACCATTATTGTTAAGCTAAGGAAAAATAATACTATTTTTGCAGTTGGCAACACAACTTCCCCAATTATTAAGATCTTGATCATTTTAAATAAGTTCTCCTCAGTGAATGATATTGACTTTTTTCACGATCTCATAAATGTAATAATAAATCAAATTAGATCTAAAGCCCTAATGTATGTTCAGAGCCCCAGTGCCATTTAATTAGAATTTTTTTTCACTACTAGCGTCTGATGACATGATTATTAACCTTTTTTCCACTTGTAAAGTAGGCTTTCTCGGCATTTGTTCAAAGTGGTTAATAATTTTTTATTATTAACTAGTAGTCAATAATGAGAACTGTCACGCTGTCACTTTTAGAAAACACAACCCGAAATTTCGCTCAATAAACGTTTAGACAAGTTCTCTAAAATGAATAATTGCCACCATCCGCCATTTCCAGAGAAATTACATACCCTAAAATTATCACATTTTGAAAAAATTCGAACGAAATTACTCTTTGAAAATATCTCAATGACAGAACAAAATACGGCCTGTTTGACTTGTACTTCCACGTACTTGATTGACATGTTAAATTAAGAAACAAACAATTCTGTCCAACCGTTAACTCTCTTATCAATATGTTAATTTAGAGGATTTCAAGTGCTAGTAGTGAAAAAAATAGTATATATACCACGGTAGAGAAGTCTATTATTGCCTTCGCACCTTACACCCCTCGGCGCAAGCGCCTCGAGATGTGCTCAGGCAATAATAGTGGACTTCTCTACCTTGATATATAATGTACTATTATTCTGTATGGTGTCTGGTTAAACAAAAAAACGTTGTGAAGCAATATCATGCTATAAATCAAAATTTTCGGAAAAATGTGTAGATTACGAATATCGATGGCGCGTACCTCTCACCGAAAGGAGAAAATAACCCCTATACAAAAATACATATTACGATAAAAAATACCTAAAAATATTTTCCAAAATGTATGTATTTGTTTGAATCTCTAACTACCCTTAAACAACTCCTATCGAAAAATAAATGTAAACATTGCTATAAATGTTTTTCAAAATGTATTTATTCGCTTGAATCTCTTTGGGACGTACCTCTAAGAAGTGGTGGAAGGGAGAAAACTACCGTTAAACAACTTTAAACAGCCCCTATATAAAAGAATAATGACAAAACATAGCTCAAACTATTTTATAAAATATATTTGTCTGCTAGGTCAGTGTTTCTCACCTTTTTTTTTTACTGGTGGCCTACTTGTGAATGTTATTTATCTCTGTGGCCCCCCTTTGCGTTATACCGAACGAGTCTGGGGTGTATGGAATCCCCCCTCCCTTGAGAGGGGGGTCATACACCGGGAAATTTTTGAAATTTTAGTAGCTTTATACGTGTTTTTAGAATGTGGCATTTCAATATTTTAAACACTTTAGAATTAGATCAAAATTGTTATTTTGTAGTTATCAAGAAACGATTTTCAAGCTTTGACGCTGAAATTTTTTTTAAAATGCGTTTTTGAAACTTGTACAAAAACTAATCTCTACAGAAGAATAATCCTGGTAGGCGATAGAAGAGTGTTAGAAAAAAATAACAAACATTTTCCGGTATCGCGTCTATCAATTGCATTGTGCGTTTGCCATTTATAAACATTTAAATTTAAAGTTGTGATTAGGATTTATTGCTTTCTAGGAAAGGTACACTAAGATAACACAAACAAGGATAAGGGGTTGGTTATTGTCGTATAATTTTTGTACTGCCAATTTTTGGTAAATATTTAATTTTAATATTTCAGTAAGATATTGTAGAAGTGAATTTTCGAGGCCCACTGAAAAGTTTCCGTGGGCTACCAATATTCTGTCTGTCGTTCGTGGTTCCCAAGGAATATGTCATGGCCCCCGTTGAAAAACACTGTGCTACATTGTCTATAAGGGGGTGGCTGAAGAGAGAGAAGAAAGGGATGGACACAAGAAGAAAAGAATGCTTTATATTTATATTATTTTTGCATAGTTTTAACAAAACAAAGTTGCTATTTACAGTCTTTTTTCTATTCTAAAAATGGATTTATTACTCGTTGTCGGAATCGCTATCCAGTACATCGTCAGAATCAGTAGTTTTTTCATCTATTTCAATGTTTGAACAACATTTGGGATCAGCCTCACATTCGCACATTTCCGTACAAAGCATTTTTTGGGTTAAACATTTGCACCTTTGACTACAATTATTTTTTTACAAGAACATTTTAAAACATTTAGTATTTCTTCGGGTGCGCAAGGAAGAGTACACATAATGGGTACAAATTTTTCGTTGTCCAATTTCCAACCGTATGGTGGCGGTAAATTCGGTTGAGTTTGTGTATCCAGATTCCATTCAATACTCTTGTACTGCCGGTTTTAACGCTGCTTGAGACATGTAATCAGTGGAAACTTGCCTATTTATGAAGCTGCAGGCACTGTTAAAACGGACATCGGTTGGATATGAACCCAAAAAATCTAAAATCTTAGAATATCATGAGATTAAAAAAATGATTAATGAAGCGCCATGCACCGAGTATCTGGCAGTAAAAGTAATTTAATCAAATTACATTACATCACTACAATTTATAGATAGTTATAGATAGATACTAATGGGATATTACGGAGCATCGGGTGTGACCAGTTGAAAAGTTTGCTTGTGGACGATGTCGAATTTTTGTAACTATATTGACAACAAAAGTTAATTGTCCAAGGCTATCTTTATATATAAAATTCTTCCATATGTGTGTTTGTGATTAAACTCTTCCTAAAGGGCTGGAAGGATTTTGATGAAAATTTGTGTTTCTGTTTGCTCCCGAATGGTTTAGTTCAATAATTGATGTGATCTGATCGAAATACCGGATTTTTTTTAAATTCTTTTTTCGTCGATGTCGCACTCTGCTATTTGGCAACTCACTTACGTCGTACGGTACCAATATGCACATATTCTTGCTTATAGACGCTGGGCTTTCCTTATAATATACCCGGATAACATTAATCAAAGTTTAATATCTACTTGTATAAACCAGAAACGCTTCTTTATATTTTATCGACACGGGCGGTGTACTACGCAACCTATATAGCAGGGTTTCTCAAACTGGGGGGCGCAAGGGGTTATTAAGGGGGGCGCGAGATCCCTGATGTGTTTGATGCAAATATTTACCTTTAAAATATTTATTAGGTATTTTTATGTACAATTGTATGTGATCAATTTTTACACCAATAAGAAGGTATCTACAATTCGGTAAATTCGCCTTTTTATGCTGATGAAAGCATTGATGTTGCGCAATGTTGCCAGTGTGCGATATATGATGTTGCTAATGTGCTATAAAAGAAGAGATCTCGAATGAACTAAAAACGATCTCAAAAGCCGTTGATGTTATGGATGCAATATCCGACTTGATTGAAAAACATAATATTTTATGGACCATATCAACTTTTTTAGCACCGTCAGAAAGTTGATAAAAATGTACCAAGCTTTTGTTAAAATTATTTGTTGATATCTTTGAAAATAAATTGACGCCAACCTATTCTCGAAAATGACATTTTTCGGTTTTTTGTGCATAATTCGCTATTTGTAGACCTAGAAAACTTTTTGGAAGGGAAAATTAATCACCATACAATTTTGCATAAATTTGCTCGAAACGGCTTTGTATCTCTTACTCCGAGTCCCCATAATGAAAAAATAAACTCGCTCTGTAATTGTTTTAATAAATACGTTTTTAGTAACAGCAGTTTTTATCTTTTAATAGGTATGGGGGGGGGGGGCGTGAGTAATTTTA